GCGAGCAGCATTGCAGCTGTAAGAAATCCACCAGAAACACTCCCTCCTCCCGCTCCCGCTGTCCTCACCCCTTCCAGAACCGGCCTCCAGCTCGTATTTGCAGCTGCGCTCAGCCTCGGTCTTTGTCTCAAGAAGGCTTGGGTATGACAAGAGCTTTTAAACTTATCCGTGGAGGCCGGGTGGGGTGGCTCGCGCCTGTAATCCCAGCACTTTGGGAGACCGAGGCAGGCAGATCACTTGAGGTTGCGAGTTCGAGACCAGCCTGGCCAACATGTTGAAACTCCGTCTCTACCAAAAATACAAAATTAGCTGGGTGTGGTGGTGGGTGCCTGTAATCCCAGCTACTCGGGAGGCTGAGGTGGGAGAATTGCTTGAACCTGGGAGGTGGAGGTTGCAGTGAGCCGAGATGGTGCCACTGCACTCCAGTTTAGGTGATAGAACAAGACTGTCTCAAAACAAACAAACAAAAAAATTATCAGTGGAGTTGGGCCCAATGGCTCATGCCTGTAATCCCAGCACTTTGAGAGGCTGAGGTGGGCAGATCACCTGAGGTTGAGAGTTCGAGACCAGCCTGGCCAATATGGTGAGCCCTCGTCTCTACTAAAAATACAAAAATGAGCCGGGCGTGGTGGCGGGCACCTGTAATCCAGCTACTTGGGAGGCCGAGGCAGGAGAATCACTTGAACCCAGGAGGCGGAGGTTGCAGTGAGCTGAGATCGCACCACTGCACTCCAGCCTGGGTGACGATAAAAAAACATCAGTGGGGGAAAGGGAGCTAAGCTAATAATAATAGTAACACTGGAGATGATTATTTATTTGTGCTGCCCTCGTCATTTGCACAGCCCATGTCGGCTGTTTCATCGAAATTTCACGACCACCTGGTGTGCGGGAGATTATTGTCCCATTTTACAGATCAGAAAACAGAGGCACTGAGACGCCCAAAAAGGTAGCCCAGATGGCAGAGCAAACCTGCTGGGAAATTGGGATTTGAACCATGGGCGTCTGATCCCAAAGCTTATGTGCCTTTGTTTATGCTGTGCTGCTTGAAATGACATTATTTTAAAATTATTATTATTTTTCTTAGAGATGCAGTCTTGCTCTGTTGTCCAGGCTGCAGTGCCGTGGTGTGATCATAGCTCATTGCTGCAATCTCCCAGGTCCAAACAATCCTCCTGCCTCAGCCTCCTGAGTAGCTGGAACTACAGGTGCACGCCAGCATACCTGGCTATTTTATTTATTTATTTATTTATTTATTTATTTATTTATTTTGAGACGGAGTCTCACTCTGTTGCCCAGGCTGGAGTTCAGTGGTGCGATCTTGGCTCACTGCAACCTCAGCCTCCCACGTCCAAATGATCCTTCTGCCTCAGCCTCCTGAGTAGCAGATGCACGCTAGCATACCTGACTAATTTTTTTTCATTTCCTATTTTATTTATTTATTTATTTATTTAGAGATGGAGTCTCACTTTCTCGCCCAGGCTGGAGTTCAGTGGTGCGATCTTGTCTCACTGCAACCTCCGCCTCCCAGTTTCAAGCGATTCTCCTGCCTCAGCCTCCCAAGTAGCTGGGATTATAGGCATGGGCCACCAGGCCTGGTGAATTTTGTATTTTTAGTAGAGACAGGGTTTCTCCATGTTGGTCAGGCTAGTCTCGAACTCCTGACCTCAGGTGATCTCCCTGCCTTGGCCTCCCAAAGTGCTGGGATTATAGATGTGAGCCACCAGGCCCGGCCAGTTTTTGCTTGTTTTTGTTAAGAGATGGGGTCTTGCTGTGTTGCCCCGGCTAATCTCAAACTCCTGGGCTCAAGGGATCCTCCCACCTTGGCCTCCCAAAGAGCTGGGATTACAGATGTCAGCCTCCGCTCCCAGCCGTGATTGTGGGCTATTCTGAGAACAGGGACCTCTTGCTACAAAGAAACACACACAGGTGCAGGGGCCTTAGAGGCTTGGCAATGACTGGATTCAGGAGAGGGCTGAAGTTCTTGAATATCAAGGTGCCATCTTCAACAGTCCTCCTTCTGCTTGGACGTGAATGGGAAGGAAGCTCTCGGCCTCCCACACCAGCCTGACTCATTTTGACGGAGACCGACTGCTTCGAGGCATTCTTCTGTATCTCCTTCAAATCCCATTCTCTTTTAAGTTCGTTCTTTCGGCCTCGTCCTGCCCTCCGGAACCTTCTCAGATTGAGATTTCTCTGGAACTGGAGATTCTTTTTTTTTTTTTTTTTTTTGAGACAGTCTCAGTCACTCCACTGCCCAGACTGGAGTACAGTGGCATGATCTTGGCTCACTGCAACCTCTGCCTCCCAAGTTTGAGCATCTCCTGCCTCAGCCTCCTGAGTAGCTGGGATTACAGGTGCCCGCCACCATGCCCAACTAATTTTTGTATTTTTAGTAGAGATGGGGTTTCGCCATGTTGTCCAGGCTGGCCGCAAACTCCTGACCTCAAGTGATTTGTCCGCCTCGGCCTCCCAAACTGCTGGGACTGCAGACATGAGCCACTGCGGGCGGCCTGGAAATTCTTTTCAAATTCTCTTTTTCAGGCGGATTACACCTGGTTTTTTTGACTGAACCTCACCCAGTGGTTTCTATAACTGACCTTTAGGCATTGTGTCTAGGGGATGGATGAATTCCTGGCTCTGAAAGGGAAGAGGGATGAGCGGCTATCTTTAGCCAGCAAGTCAGAGTCACACATCTCAACAGCAAACTTGCACAGCTTCCTTTCCACGTAGTTTTTTTTTGAGACAGAGTCTCGCACTGTCACCTGGGCTGGAATGCAGTGGTGCATCTCGGCTCACTGCAACCTCCTCCTCCCGGGTTCAAGTGATTCTCCTGCCTCAGCCTCCTGAGTACCTGGGATTATAGGCGCCTGCCATCATGCCCAGCTAATTTTTTTTTTTTTTTTAAATTTTTAGTAGAGACAGGGTTTTACTATGTTGGCCAGAATGGTCTCCATCTCCTGACCTCGTGATCCACCCACCTCGGCCTTCCAAAGTGCTGGGATTACAGGCCTGAGTCACTGCGACTGGCCTTTTTTTTTTTCTTTCTTTCTTTTTAAATAGAGATAGGCGGCTGGGCATGGTAGCTCACGCCTGTAATCCCAGCACTTTGGGAGGCCAAGGTGGGTGGATCACGAGGTCAGGAGATGGAGACCATTCTGGCTAACACTGTGAAACCCCCTTTCTACTAAAAATACAAAAAAATTAGTCAGGCGTGGTGGCGGGTGCCTGTAGTCCCAGCTACTTGGGAGGCTGAGGCAGGAGAAGGGCGTGAACCCGGGAGGCGGAGCTTACAGCAAGCAGAGATCGCGCCACTGCTCTCCAGCCTGGACAACAGAGCAAGACTCCATCTAAAAAATAATAATAATAAATAAATAATAAAATAAATAAATAGAGACAGGGTCTTGCTCTGTCACCCAAACTGGAGTGCAGTGGTGCAATCATGGTTCACTGCAACCTCCGCCTTCTGGGCTCAAGTGATCCTCCTGCCTCAGCCTGTCAAGGCTGAGACTGCAGGTGCACACCACCATGCCCAGCTATTTTTTTTTTTTTAGTAGAAATGGGGTCTAACTATCTTGCCCAGGCTGGTTTTGAACTCTTGAGCTCAAGCATTTCCCCAGCCTCAGCCTCTGTAAGTGCTGGGATCATAGGCATGAGCCACCGCACCCAGCCCCTGTGATTTCTTATTCTGACTAGGGACCAGCACCTGTCACCCAATATTTGTTAAGCGCCGACTGTATGCCAGGCACTATCCTTAGGTTGCGATACAGCAGTGAGCTAAACAAAGACCTGTGCTCTTGTGGGGTTCCTTGTGGTGGGGAGACAGAGTGTAGACAAGATGTCCCTGCAAACCGTTCAGCATAGGGGCCAGGCTTGGTGGCTCTCGCCTGAAATCCCAGCACTTTGGGAGTTCGAGACCAGCCTGGCCAACAATGGTGAAACCCGGTCTCTACTATTTATTTGTACTAAAAATACAAAAATCAGCCAGCTGTGGTGGCAGGCGCCTATAATCCCAGCTACTCGGGGGGGATGAGGCAGGAAAATCACTTGGACCCAGGAGGTGGAGGTTGCAGTGATCCCAGATTGCGCCACTGCACTCCAGCCTGTGGGACAGAGCGAGACTCAAAAAAAAAAAAAAAAAAAAAAAATCAGCATATTAGGGGAGTTAGGTGTCTCCTAAAGGCTGCTAATAAATCACAATGTTGCCTCAACCTGGAATTACAAGCGCGTGCCACTATGTCCAGCTAAATTTTTTTTTTTTTTTTTTTTTAAAGATGGAGTCTCCCTCTGTCACCCAGGCTGGAGTGCAGTGGTGAGATCTCGGCTCACTGCAAGCTCCGCCTCCTGGGTTCATACCATTCTCCCACCTCAGCCTCCCGAGTAGCTGGGACTACAGGTGCCCACCACCAGGCCCGGCTAATTTTTGTATTTTTAGTAGAGATGGGGTTTCAACGTGTTAGCCAGGATGGTCTCAATCTCCTGACCTCGTGATCCGCCCGCCTCGGCCTCCCAAAGTGCTGGGATTACAGGCGTGAGCCACCACTCCCGGTATGCCCAGCTAATTTTTGTAGTTTTAGTAGAGACGTGATTTTGGCATGTTGCCTGGGCTGGTCTCGAACTCCTGACCTCAAGTGATTCACCCGCCTCGGCCTCCCAAAGTGTTGGGATTACAGGCATGAGCCGCTGCAACCGGCCAGAGTGTTAAGAACTCTTAAAATGGTGTAGGGGTGGGGGCTCCCTTGGGGCAGGGAGGACAGAAATGAATCTTAAATGAATGAGCAAATACCCATTATATGCCTGGCCTGGACTACCCCACTGTGAGGCCATGGAGAAGACTCGCACACAGGGCCTCAGCCCTCCCAGAGTGTGCGGGAGATGAGGACACGGAGATGGAACCAGGCCAGCCCTGGGCCGTTCCCACTTAGAGACGGCTGGTTCCTGCGTCCCACCTGGGAGAGACACCTGCTCCCCCGACGGCTGACTCAGGGGTGTGGAAGTCCTACCTGGGAAGGTCTTCGTCCTGCCATTCCTCCTTCACGTCCACGTTTTCCATCCGGAGCGTGGCTTCGGTGGTCCCCATAGGAGCCGGAAAGAGGCACCGGCTTGAAGCAGGGGTGACCCCTGAAAAGAATGGGTTTTACTGAACAATAATCCTAATGACAGTGCCCTGCCCCATGCAGCTCTTCCCCCCTCCCCCCTCCCTCCCTTCTCCTTCTTCTTGAGACACAGTCTTGCTCTGTTGCCCAGGCTGGAGTGCAATGGTGCAATCTCAGCTTATTGCAACCTCCACCTTCTGGGCTCAAGTGATTCTCCTGCTTCAGCCTCCCAAGTAGCTGGGATTACAGGCACCTGCTACCATGCCTGATTAATTCTTGTATTTTTGCAGAGACAGGGTTTCGCCATGTTGGCCAGGCTGGTCTCGAACTCCTGTCCTCAGGTGATCCTCCTGCCTTCGCCTCCCAGTGTGCTGGGATCACAGGTGTGAGCCATCATGCCTAGCTAAATTTTGTATTTTTAATAGAGACGGGGTTTCACTATGTTGGCCAGGCTGGTTTCAAACTCCTGAGCTCAAGTAGTCTGCCCGTCTCAGCCTCCCAAAGAGCTGGGATTACAGCGGTGAGCCACTGAGCCTGGCTCTTTTTTTTTTTTTTTTTTTAACATGATCTTGCTTTGTTGCCTGGGCTGGAGTGCAGGGGCACAATCATAGCTCGTGGCAGCCTTGAACTCCTCGGCTTAAGCAATCCTCCTGCCTCAGCCCCCCACCAGTGGCTGTGACCACAGGTGTGCACCACCATGCCTGGGTAATTTTTTTTTTTTTTTTTTTTTTTTTTTTGAGACGGAGTCTTGCTCTGTCGCCCGGGCTGGAGTGCAGTGGCCAGATCTCTGCTCACTGCAAGCTCCGCCTCCCGGGTTCACGCCATTCTCCTGCCTCAGCCTCCAGAGTAGCTGGGACTACAGGCGCCCACCACCTCGCCCGGCTAGTTTTTTGTAATTTTTAGTAGAGACGGGGTTTCACCGTGTTAGCCAGGATGGTCTCGATCTCCTGACCTCGTGATCCACCCGTCTCCGCCTCCCAAAGTGCTGGGATTACAGGCTTGAGCCACCGCGCCCGGCCGCCTGGGTAATTTTTAAAAATATTTTTTAAGAGATTGGGTCTTGCTATGTTGCCCAGGCTGGTCTCAAACTCTTGGGCTGAAGCAATCCTCCTGCCTTGGCCTCCCAAAGCGCTGAGATTACAGGGGTGAACCACTGCGCCCGGCCAACACTTCTTATTGAACCATCACCCAGTCCCATGAGGTTCCCCTGTTTTACAGATGAGAAAATGGAGGCACAGAAAGCTTAGGATGCACAGTGGGGTTCAGAGTTTGAACGTGGGCGAGAGGCTGAGCCTTCGGATACAAGCCCTGCTCCCTTGGAAACTCTGAAATCTACCTTCTCCAGGGTAAGCCATGACCCAAATATACTTATCCTCCCTCTTGTACCTTGGACCTCAACTAGAAAGCAAGAAATCCAAACCATCATTCATGCTAAAGTGTGAATGGCTGATATACTTCAGCTTCCCTGCTGGGAATGCCAAGTTCAAAGAGAATCCAGTAGGCTTAACCCATCACTATCTGCCATCTCTACCAGGCCACCTGTCCTGCCCCTCTGTCCTCCCTCAAGCAAGTCCAAGTGACCTTCTGATCCCAGGGCTCACAAAGACAGTGTGGAAAGAGACTGGGGTTAGAAAGGAGACCCTCATCTTTACTAGCCACAAAATGTCACTTTATTTATTTATTTATTTAGAGACGGGGTCTTGCTCTGTCACCCAGGCTGGAGTGCAGTGGTGTGATCCCGGCTCACTACAGCCTCCAACTCCTGGGATCAAGTGATCCTCCTGCCTTAGCCTCCCAAGTAGCTGAGACCATGGGCGTGTGCCACCATGTCTGGCTAATTTTTCTGATCTTGCTGTGTCACCCAGGCTGGTCTTGAACTTATGGGCTCAGGTGATCCTCCTACCTCAGCCTCCCAAAGCATTGGCATTACGGGCGTGAGCCACTGCGCCACCCCACCCCCCACACCTGTTTTGTTTTTCTTGTTCTAAGGAGCTCACTGGGCAGGGGGAAGCAATCTGGGTGGGGGCCAGGATCAGAGCTGCCAGGTGAGACTGAGTTCTGGTCTGCTCTGGGGCATGACGGACTCTCAGACCATCTCACTCTCTGGGTCTCAGTTTCCCCTTCTGTAAACAAGAGGTGAATTAGAGATGACCTCTACGATACCTTTTGGATAGAACATACCAGCATTTTATGACTCAACCAACCCCATCTGTTTTGCGCTTTGAAACCAGTGCTTTGCACCTGTGGACAGTTCTGCCACCCCTGCTGCAAGGGGACACTTGGCATCGTCTAGAGGCACTTTTCTCATAACTGAGGGAAAGGAGTGCCCCCTGGGGCAGGCCGGGGGTGCTGCTCAGTACCCTACAGTGCCCAGGATGGCCGCGCATGACCAAGAATGACTGGGCCCCAAATATCCATAGATCCAAGGTGGAGAAATCTCGTCTTAAAGGCAATAGTCATTTCTGTGCGCATTCCCGTGTTTGCAAAAGGATTTCAGGCCCGTGTCCGGCAGTCATTACAGAGCATGGTACACTCCTTCCATTACCTCTGTGTGTCCTCTCAACAGCTCCTGAGTAGCAAGATACACTTTTTTTTTTTTGAGACGGAGTCTCGCTCTGTCGCCCAGGCTGGAGTGCAGTGGTGCGATCTCGGCTCACTGCAACCTCCGCCTCCTGAGTAGCTGGGACTACAGGTGTGCGCCACCATGCCCAGCTAATTTTTAGTAGAGGTGGGATTTCACTATATTGGCCAGGCAGGTCTTGAACTCCTGACCTAGTGATCCACCTGCCTCCCAAAGTGCTGGGATTACAGGCGTGAGCCATCGCGCCTGGCCACTAGATCCACTTTTTAAATAATCTGGGGGCTGGGTGCAGTGGTGCATGCCTGGAATCCCAACACTTTGGGCAGATCGCTTGAGATCAGGCATTCAAGGCCAGCCTGGGCCACATAGCAAGACCCCATCTCTCCAAAAATTTACAAAAACTAACCAAACATGATAGTGGGTGCCTGAGGTCCTAGCTATTCAGGGGGCTGAGGTGGGAGGATTGCTTGAGCCCAGAAGGTCAAGACCAGCCTGGGCAACATAGCAAGACCCCATCTCTAAAAAAAAAAAATACAAAAATTAATCAAATATGGTGCTGGGTGCCTGGTGCCTGAAGTTCTAGCTATTCAGGAGGCTGAGATGGGAGGATCGCTTGAGCCCAGGAGGTCGAGGCTGCAGTGAGCTATGATCACGCCACTGCATTCCAGCCTGAGCAACAGAGTGAGGTTGTATTTCAAACAATAAAATAAAACAAAATAAAATAAAATAAGGCATCTGGCTGGTGCAGTGGCTCACACCTGTAATCCCCAGCACTTTGGGAGGCTAAGATAGGAGGATCGCTTGAGCCCAGAAAGTCAAGACCAGCCTGGGCAACATACCAAGACTCCATCTCTAAAAAAAAAAAGAAAAATACAAAAATTAACCAAACATGGTGCTGGGTGCCTGGTGCCTGAGGTCCTAGCTATTCAGGAGGTTGAGGTGAGAGGACTGCTTGAGCCCAGGAGGTCGAGGCTGCAGTGAGCTTTGATCGTGCTACCACATTCCAGCCTGAGCAACAGAGACCCTATTTCAAAAAAATAAAAATAAATAAAGCATCTGGCTGGGGGCAGTGGCTCACACGTGTAATCCCAGCACTTCCGGAGGATCGCTTGGGCACAGGAGGTCAAGACCAGCTGGGGCAAGATAGCAAGACCCTGTCTCAAAAAAACAAATACATAAAGCATCTAAGGCCCCCAACTCACACGGCGTCCTGACTGCCTCTCTGCGGAGTAGGTTACCCGCAGCCCCCCAGCCTTAGATACCGGCTTTACATCGGGGACGGTGGATTACCAAGGAAGGACCTAGAGGCAGCCTCAGTCAGATGAGGAAGTGGGGGGAGGGGACGGCTAAAACTAGACCCTCCCCCGTACAGGGTGAGCGTTTCTCACTCGATTCTCTGTCCTCAATGTCGTCATTCATTCTTGGAGGAGGGACAGTAACACGCAGCATGGAAAAAAAAAAAAAAAAAAAAATTCCCTCCTGGACGCTATGGGCTGAGGGGTGGGGGTGGCAGCTGCCAGCCAGGCCCTTCCCGCGACGGTAAGTTCTCCTCGGCAGTAGAAACGCGTTTGCTTTCCGGAGGAAGGGGTCTTCGCCTCTGCCTTCCTTATACTTATACAGAGCTGGGTGTGACCTCAGCCCCCAGGAACACTTCCCCCAGCCCCGCCCCCGCCCCCCACCCCCTGCCAGCTGCAGCTTGACTCCACAGTCTTCTAAGGATGGGGTGTGGTGGGTCCTCAGTGGGCCCCGGACACTCCTGCACTCAGATCCTGGCTTCACATTTGGGGACGGCCAAAAGAAGACAGTGACATCAAGGAACCAGAGTGAAGCGCTCATTTGAGCCCTGAGGTCTGATTATTAGCAAATCACATACGAGTTCCGATAAGAAGGAGGCATCTGGGTCTTAAACCATAAGCCACCCCCTTCCTCCCCACCCCACAGGCAAGCCTTTATCGACATACTTAATTTTTTTTTTTTTCCCCAAATCGGCAGCTGGTGGCCTTCCCAGCGTTATAAATAGGAAATACACAGGGCTAGGATGGGTCTATTTCAGCGTCCCAGAGAGAAGCCGAGGTTTTCATCCGCCCAAGCTCTCAGCGTGTCCTGAAAATGGTGCATTTATCTGCCTTCCAGGGGAACGGTGCGCGCGGAAGGTAAACTGTGTTGCCGGGCGCAGCTCGGGGAACGGTTCTCCCTGCTACCGGGAACACGGATGTGAGGGCCTTCACGGAGTCACAAGACCGTGGCTCTCTGCTCCCACCCGCCCCATCTGCTGGAAAGGGATTTAGAGGCGGCAAAAGGCTGCCGGATAAACCTTCCAGGGAGACGGTTTATCCTGGGCGAAGGGGAGATGCGCGCACTCACCTCTGCAGCTGAGACAGCCTCTCCTCCTTACTGGCAAACAAAGGCGAGCCCTGCCCGGGTGCACCTGGGCATCGCTCACGCTCCCCAGGCCTTCAGAGCCTGGGAGGAGGAAGATGCTCGCAGGGACGGATTCTGCATCCGAGGAAGGTCACCCAGGGCGACGTGGCCAGCGCCCGCCAGCTCTTTTGTGCAGGGGTGGGTGGGGTGCAGGGTTAGCGGTGGGCTCCCCCTCGCGGGGCTGCGGCTGCGCCCGCTCTCATCGCCACCCGCCTGCGCGCCCTGCCTCGGAGGTAGCTGCTTCTTCCCAGCTCACGGCTGGCAGAGGCTCGGCTTCCCGAAGACAGTTAATTTATGCTGCTTTTGTGTGCAGGGAGGAGGGGGTGGGGGGTGGCGGCCTGACCGAAAGGCACAGCCCCCTGCCAGAATCCGGTCCTCTCCATTGGCTGACAGACAAGCATCTCCGAAAGCCACGCCAGGGGCAGAGGCAGAAATCATTTTCTGATGGCGCATCACAGATTTAAAAACAAAACAACGGACAAATAAATAAATAAATGGCGAGATGGCCTCATTCCTTAGAGAACGGGGGTGGGGAGGGCTGGGGAAGGTCCTCTTGGCACTTCTCCTTGCAAAGGGCGCAGGGCTGAGGGGTGGCATCCCCCCAAAAAAGTCTCTGCAGGCAAAGACATGACTGTCCCCAGGCCGGTGCCGTGGCTCACATGTGTAATCCCAGCACTTTGGGAGGCCGAGGAGGGAGGATCACCTGAGGACAGGAGTTCGATACCAGCCTGGCCAACATGGTGAAACCCCGTCTCTACTAAAAAGATAAAAATTAGCCGGGCGTGGTGGCGGACACCTGTAATTCCAGCTACTCGGGAGGCTGAGGCAGGAGAATCATTTGAACCCGGGAGGCGGAGGTTGCAGTGAGCCGAGATGGCGCCACTGCACTGCAGCCTGGGAGGCAGAGGGAGACTCTGTCTCGAAAGAAAGAAAGAAGAAAGAAAGAAAGAAAGAAAGAAAGAAAGAATTGAACCCGGAGGCGGAGGTTGCAGTGAGCCGAGATGGCGCCTACTGCACTGCAGCCTGAGGCAGAGGTGGAGACTCTGTCTTGAAAGAAAGAAAGAAAGAAAGAAAGAAAGAAAGAAAGAAAGAAAGAAAGAAAGAAAGAAAGAAAGAAGGAAGGAAGGAAGGAAGGAAGGAAGGAAGGAAGGAAGGAAGGAAGGAAGGAAGGAAGGAAGGGAAGGAAGGAAAGAAAGAAAGAAAGAAAGAGAGAGAGAGAGAGAGAGAGAGAAAGAAAGGAAAGAAAGGAAAGAAAGGAGAAAGGAAGGAAGAAGGGAAGAAAGGAAAGAAAGGAAGGAAGGAAGGAAGGAAGGAAGGAAGAAAGAAAGAAAGAAAGAAAGAAAGAAAGAAAGAAAGAAAGAAAGAAAGAAAGAAAGAAAGAAAGAAAGAGAAAGAAAGGAAGGACTGTGCCCAGGTCACCATGTTGTGCGTCTATTAGATGGTCACTTACAGTGGATGGAGCCTCATGCCCGAAACAGGGCTGGGTGGCAGCCTGTTTATCAGGCACACTGGCTCTGCAAGGCTGCTGTGGGAACGGCGCCCCCTGCAGTTGTGCGCCGGCGTGGCCTCGCCCTGGAGGAATTCAAGGAGACAGTGAAGATGGTAGGGTGGAGAGTGCAGGCCCTGCAGTCGGACTGGAAGTGGGTTTGAACTCTAGCCCAGCCACTCTCCAGCTGGTAGACCAGTGGACGTGAGTGATCTTACCTGCGGGTCTCAGTTTTCCTCATCTGTGAAATGGAGCCGCTATGACTTTTTCACACTATGAGATAATGCATAGATAGCATTAAACACAGTGCTGGGGCACAAGAAAAGCTCTCTATGTGTTTGTTTCGCTCTGTTGCCCAGGCTGGAGTACAGTGGTGTGACCTCGGCTCACTGCAACCTCCGACTCCCAGGTTCAAGTGATTCTCCTGCCTCAGCCTCCAAAGTAGCTGGGATTACAGGTGCACACCACCACGCCTGGCTAATTTTTGTATTTTTAGTAGAGACAGGGTTTCACCATGTTGGCCAGGCTGGTCTTGAACTCCTGACCTCAGGTGATCTGCCCACCTCGGCCTCCCAAACGGTTGGGATTACAGGCGGGAGCTACCGCGCCTGGCCAGAATATACATTTTCGAAGAGCAGAGGCTCAGTTGGTCTTATTCACCGCACATTCTCCGCACAAAGTAGCAACTCCTGGTGCAAAGCTGTTCAGGAAACGCAGGCAGAGTGCATGAAGGCTGGCTCCCTTCATGACATTTAATGACATCCCACCTAGGCTGTCAGCCTCACCCACTGCATGGGGGTCTGCACCCCTCCAAGGCATTAAGGCAACCTGCCCACAGCAGAGGCAGAAAGCCCCGTTGGGGAAACAGAGACCCCAGAGACTTCAGCACAAGGCTAGGGCTTCCCATCTCCTGGCTGGAGAAAGCAGAGGTCTTGTAAGAGACACTTGTGTTAACTGAGGGGTGGATTCGGTTAGTCTCTGTGCTGGGCACTGGGCACAAGATGTGAGTAATTCCCATTACTCACGGTCCTCTCCTTACTGGCAAACAAAAGCAAGCCCTGCCCGGGTGCAGCGGGCATCTCTCAGGCTCCCCAGGCCTCCAGAGCATCGGAGGAAGAGGATGCTGGTGGGGGTGGATTCTGCCTCTGAGGAAGGTTGCAAGTGCCTGCCACCTCTTTTGTGCATGGGTGGGGTGCGGAGTTAGTGATGGGCTCCCCTGCGTGGGGCTGCGGCTGTGGCCCCTCTTGTCATCACCCGCCTGCGCGCCATCCCTCTGAGGTATCTGCTTCCCAGCTCACAGCTGGCAAAGGCGCAGCTTCCCTAAGACACTTAATTCATGCTGTTTTTGTGTGCAGGATTGGGAATTCTCTTAGAATGCCCATTCAGTTGAGGCCAGGCAGGTAATCCCAGCACTTTGGGAGGCCACTCACACCTGTAATCCCAGCATTTTGGGAGGCCAAGGCGGGTGGATAACTTGACATTGGGAGTTTGAGACCAGCCTGGACAACATGCTGAAACCCCGTCTCTACTAAAAATACAAAACTTGGTCGGACGTGGTGATGGGCACCTGTAATTCCAGCTACTTGAGAGACTGAGGCAGGAGAATCGCTTGAACCCGGTAGGTGGAGGTTGCAGTGAGCCCAGATCAAGCCACAGCCCTCTAGGTGGGGTGACAGAGTGAGACTCCATCTCAAAAAACAAAAAAAGCAAAACAAAAGAATTCCCATTCAGTTGAGAGAAACAGGTGGACAAGAGTCTGGGCCCATCTAGAGACTTCTGTGGAGTGGTGCAGGTTGGGGGACCCTTGGGGAGGTTTCCTGGTGGGGCACAGGGGTGGTGACTGTATGAGTGAGACCCCTGAGGAGTGAGTGGAGTTAGATGAATAAAAAAGAAGGAGGGAGGCGTATTCTGGACAGACAGGCCTGCCCAGACTGGCATTTAAAGAGCCACAGCTCCTCCCCAGTCCACCGAAGCCCCGGGAGCTGTCCATGGTGCTAGAGCCAACACCAAGAAGCCACAGCGTGTGACCTGAGCTCGGTTCCCCGTCCATTTTTCTTTTTCTTTTTTTTTTCCTTTGAGACACAGTCTCGCTCTATCACCTGGGCTGGAGTACAGTGGTGCAATCTCGGCTCACTGCAACCTTCGCCTCCCGGGTTCAAGCGATTCTTCCGCCTCAGCCTCCCGAGTAGCTGGGATTACAGGCACCCACCACCATGCCAGGCTAATTTTTGTATTTTTAGTAGAGATGGGGTTTCACCATGTTGGCCAGCCTGGTCTCGAACTCCTGACCTCAGGTGATATGCCTCTTCGGCCTCCCAAAGTGCTGGGATTACAGGTGTGAGACACTGCACCTGACCCTGTCTGTTTTCATTTAATTTAAAAATGGAAAATTTTTAATTTAGTTTAATTTTTTTGAGACAAGGTCTTGCTCTGTAGCCCAGGCTGGAGTACAGGAGTGTGATCATGGCTTACTGCAGCCTCAACCTCCTGGACTCAAGCGATCCTCCTATCTCAGCCTCCCTGGTAGTTGGGACTACAGGTATATGCCATCACGCCTGGTTAGTTTTTAAAATTTTTGTAGAGATGGGTCTTGCTATTTTGCCCAGGCATATGTACCACACCCGTGGGTGTGGATATCTTGAGGAGCCATTATTGTGCTGGCCATCCCTGAGGAATTAGTTTGGAAAGGCACAAAGGGCTAGATTTTGTAGGATCTTGAAACTTTTCTGAAGGTGCGCACGTGGAAAATGTTCTTGTGGGCTGGGTGCAGTGACTCACACCTGTAATCCCAGTACTTTGGGAAGCTAAAGCGGGTGGATTGCTTGAGGCCAGGAGTTTGAGACCAGCCTGGCCAAAACGGCGAACCCCGTCTCTACTAAAAATACAAAAATTAGCTAGGCGAGGTGGTGGTCCCTGTAATCCCAGCTACCCGGGAGGCTGAGGCAGGAGAATCACTTGAACCCAGGAGGCAGAGGTTGCAGTGAGCCAAGATCGTGCCACTGCACTCTAGTCTGGGCGACAGAGCAAGACTCTGTCTCAATCTAAAAAAAACAGAAAACAAAAAACAAAAAAACCCTACAAACATATATATATATGTGTGTGTGTGTGTGTTTGTGTGTGTGTGTGTGTGTGTGTGTGTGTATATATATATAAAATCTGCAGTCTTGGCTCTTTCTTTCATTCTTTTAACATAACTATATATATACTATATATATAATACTTTTATAACAACGCCCACATATACCCCCACAGCCACTCACCTGCACACACTCACACACTACACACTTTTCTTTACCTAGTTATTAATACATCCTGGAGATCACTTCAACCAGTATCTAAAGCTAATCTTGATTCTGTTTTACGGCTGCATATACTAAATTCTACAGTTTCTTCAACCAGCCCCTCTTATGGGTGGAGTTTGTGACATTTCCAGACTTGTTTTTTTACTTTGTTTTTGAGATAGGGTCTCACGATGTTGCCCAGGCTGGTCTCAAAACTCTTGGCCTCAAGCAATCCTCCCACCTTGGCCTCCCAAAATGCTGTGATTACAGGCATGAGCCACTGAAGCTGGCCTTAGTTTTCGTTTTTGTTTTTGTTTGTTTGTTGGTTTGTTTTTTTGAGACAAGGTCTTGCTTTGTTGCCCAGGCTGGAGTGCAGTGGCACAATCCCAGCTCACTGGAGCCTCAACCTCTGAGGTTTAAGTGATCCTCCCACCTCAGCCTCCCATGTAGCTGGGACCACAGGCGCACACCACCATACCCAGCTAATTTTCTTTTCTTTTCTTTCTTTTTTCTTTCTTTTCTCTCTCTCTCTCTTTCTTTCTTTCTTTCTTTCTTTCTTTCTTTCTTTCTTTCTTTCTTTCTTTCTCTCTCTCTCCCTCCCTTCCTCCCTCCCTCCCTCTTTCTTTCTTTCTTTCTTTCTTTCTTTCTTTCTTTCTTTCTTTCTTTCTTTCTTTCTTTCTTTCTTTCTTTCTTTTACAAGAGCACAAATCCATGTTTATTTATTGATTTTTCGTTAGTTTAAATCCTTGAG